TGGCCCGAGAACTCTGCTCTACCAACACTGAGATTACAAGCATGTAAGACCGTGCCCAGGTTTTTAAATGTGGGTACTGAGGATCAAACGCAGGTCTTGTTTATGCAGCAAGTACTTTACTGTCTATCTCCCCAGCTGCCGCTATCACCACCCCCTGCCCTTTTTTTGGAGACAGTCTCCCTTGCTGTTACCCAAGCTGGTCTGACACTGGCATCCAGACTCCTGCCTCCGCTCTCCAGGTGCTGGGAATACTGGTGTGCACTAGAGGTATGCCCCACACTAGCCACACTCACTTTATATGTCACCTTGTAAAGCTCTACAGTTACCTGGTAAGACATGACAAGGTAACATGACTGTGGGACACATGGATGGAGGTAGACTTGACTTGTTATGACTTGCCTCTAAGCAAACACAGCTTTGCTTAAACCTGACTTTACCACTGCTATCTGAATAGCTATGAGCCACTTTCTGAAACTGAAAATGCTCCCACTCAGACCTCATGGTGATGGGCCACTGGAGATTAAAATCACAAAAAGGGGACATGTGATAGAATAAAAGTCCCATGGACACACTGTCTCTTTACCTACGACTTCACATCATGCATGTCTGGGGACCAACTAGTAACTTGGAAAAGTAGACAAAAAAGCTAGGCCTCCTTCTAGATCCCAGGGGTGGAGAGAGAACTCAGTCAGCAGTTACACCCAGTGAGCCTGAGCTACACCAGCAAGGTAGATTCTTGAAGTAAATATAGGCCATTAATTATTGTTAGAATGTCTATAACAGGGCTCCAGACCTTAGCACAATTGATTCCATGGCAGAAGTACCATTCAGGGTGTAAAACTAAGCACATGAGCTGGGCGGTGGTGGCGCACGCCTTTAATCCCAGCACTTGGGAGGCAGAGGAAGGCGTATTTCTGAGTTTGAGGCTAGCCTGGTCTACAGAGTGAGTTCCAGGACAGCCAGGACTATACAGAGAAACCCTGTCTCGAAAAAAAACAAAACAAAAAACAAAAAAACAAAACAAACAAAACTAAGCACATGGATGGCAACACCTGCCAAAACTAAAACAAAGGCCCAATCCATCAAAAGCTACAATTCTGGGAAAAATCTCTAAATGTGCTAACCTGGCTTTCTGGCTTCTGCTTCTGGCTATTCTTGTTAACTGAAATACATCAAACCAGGACATGGTTTTTGTGTTTAAAGGCTCACCCTGAGAAAGGCTCAGTGCTACACGGGGATCCTGAAGACCCAGTGTAGTCACCAACCAACTAATCAAGCGTTTCTGTTGGCTTAAACCCACGTCTGAGTAGTCTTCTCAGGTGCATACCCACAACAATGTCTTTCTCTTCCATATTCTGTTGAGTGGGTAAGCACACGAGCCAGACATTCAAGAACTGCTTTCGATTCCTCCTCTGGCTCATCTCACATTCTACTAGCTAAGAGGGTGGCCATCTATCAGATTTCAGAATGCTACATGGACATCATCAGTACTCACTGTGAGCCATACCACTGTTACACAGCCCTAAGGTAAAAAGCCCAAACAAAACAAACAGTGGTTAAGAGTGCTTGCTGCTCTTGCAGAGAAGAATCCCACATCTCTGTCCTCTATGGGCACCCACACATAACCCAAACACATAACCCAAAACAGACAAAGTAACAGGCCATTAACTTTTAGGACTCAAATTGTAGAGATAGGACAGAGGAAAGCACTGTATAGCTGACACAATCTGGTACCTTGCACTCCAGTGCTGCTAACTCAGTCCAGACCCTCACTTCTCCTGCTGGATGACACATGGCTTCTTAAAGGCCAGTACTACAAACCTTGGCTCGACTTGCCATGGCCACTGCCAGTGCTCACTTCAGCTGCTGGACCTCCACAGAGGTCAGGTTGCTATCAACACCCTTCATGTTATTTTGTCAACTGCATCCATCCTCCATTGCTCTTTAGCTGTTAGAATTTTCTACCCACACCAGTCTTACCACACTCCTTGTAAACAGCAAGATTACCTTGTCTGATGAGGTTAAATACATATCCAATACATTTCACCCAGAAAGAACCCTCCCTGGCCCCCAAAGACAAGCTTCCTATACACAGATAGAGCCTTCAAGGTCTTCCCATATTCCTCAGTGTCCTGCATGTACCTCCACGAAGTCCTTACACCATGCTATAGCTAGCTTCTTCCTCTAACACACTTTGCTTCTTTGAAATAGGGCCCTGCAGCCAGGCTGTGGTGGCTCACACCATCAATCCTGCACTCAGGAGATGGAGGCATGTGATCTCTAGAAGTTCATGATCAGCTTGGTCTACAGAGTGAGTTCCAAGGCAGCCAGGGATACAAAAAGAAACCCTGCCTCAAAAAACAAACAAACAAACCAAAAAACTCTATTCCCCCACCAGTACCCACCTCCAAAAAAAGGCCCTGTCCTACCCTGAGATTATCCTGTAGAACCTGGAAATGAGAAGGCACTTAGTGCTCAGGAAATTGCCAGGACAGAGGGATGAGCAGCTGATGAACAGCACTTGTTACATATACTCACTAGGTCCCAATTCCCCCATCCTAAATTGTGTATCCGGAACCACGAGGCATTATCAATCAACAACCATCTCCCAGCCAGGCAATCATACTAGCCAGGGTAGAGCACTGGCACTGGTGGCCAGTGCAGGAAGTGCATCTTTAATAAGATGCAGCTCATTGTTGGAAATGTCAAAAGTGGTTATAATCTACATTTTCACTGGCTCAGCCTGATGACTGTGTGTCACCAGAAGTGAGAAAGAGGGGACTAGAATGTAGCTAGGAGGTTATTTTGCCAATGCTGAATGTCAAATCCAGATCTGTGGTATCAACATCATCCAATCACAATCACCTTTCAATACTTCTTTTACCCAAAATTGATTACTTTCTCTGTCTCGAACGAGCACTGCAGCAGACTGTAAGATCTGTGATCTCTGCCTTCTGCTCTCTATGCTCTTGTGTAACTCCTTCCCTTCCATGCGCTGGCTGAGAGACTGGCTTCTAAACAGGTGTCCAGCAAAGGTGATGTCATGTCTGTGTGGGACTACATAGGTCAGAACTTCCATTCGGCTAGTGAGCTCCAGTCCTTTCTCTGATAAAGAATGTTCCTATGTTGCTGGGTTCCTGTGGTAAGAAGCTGAGGGGACCATCAGCAGCAGGTAGCTTAGCAATCCCAAGGAACCAATATTCTGGCAAAATCAAGTAAGCCTGGAAGCAGACAGTAAGGCCTTAGCCAAAAACCTGACTGCACCCTTGTGGTATCACTGAAACTCAGAGGCCAAAGACCCAGTGAAACTGTAGTCACAAAACCATGAGTGTTGCTTTAAGCCACTAACTCTGTGACAATTTGTTTACCTCCTAACAAAGTACCTCTCAAAATCCATCATTACCACAGGTCAGAACCTCCTGAAGACGTGGGCAATGTCCTGGAGTCAGAATCAACTAACATCCCAGCAAAGCCCATCTTCCAGCTCTGCAGCTTCCCAGGGAGGGACTTCCCTCACACAAGATGTTCCCACGTGAGCTGAATGAACATGCCCTGTGTTAGATCTAAGTTCTTGTGCTAGGCATGGATGTTTCTAGCTCATAAGATGCACTGTTCAAAAAAAAAAAGAAGAAGAAAAGAAAGAAAAAAAAAAGATGCACTGTTCATAAAAGAAGCCATGAACACCAGACAGTCTATACCCAAACTTGGGCTTGTGGGCTCAAACACTTATTCCTCAAGTTCTTGAGAATCTATTACAGTAAACTACATGGCACTGAGGCAGTCACTTTTAACTAACTTAGCTAAATAGGAAATGAGGTCAAGCCCAGCAAAGCCTAGTCAGTTTTAGCTAAGAAAGGGCCTGTCCAGTGCTTGTCTGTGGTACTGGAGATGGAATCGGAGTCTCGTGGATACTGTGTAAACACTCCATCATTGAGCTACACCCCAGTCTATTCGGTTCATGACTTACTCAGTAAGCAATAAAAATGAGCTCCAATCTGGGCTAACTTGTTAGGTGTGATGGCTCATGGTCTGTAAATCCACTACTATGGAGGCTGAGGCAAAATCATCACATTAAAGCCAGCTGGTGCTAGTCAGTTTCAGGCTAACCTGAGCTATAGAGACCCCATAAATAAATAATCCCAGACAACTAATAACCTGAGGACAGGCTGGTCATTTTTCTTGTTTTGTGTCCTCACTGCCCTATTCTTCCATACTATCTCTTTTTGAGAAGATTTATTTTTAAATGTATGTATATCTGGCGGGGGGGGGGGGGGTTGCCATGTGTATGGCTAATGGAGTCAGAAGAGAGTGTGCTGTCTCCTGGAGCTGGAGTTACAGGTAGTTATGAGCTCCCTGATGTGGGTGCTAGGAATGGAACTCAGGTCCTCCAGCAGAGCAGCAAGCACCCTGGACTGCTGACCTTCTTTCTAGCCCTTTCCCACTGTAACTTAAAGAATGCCATTTGATGGGTCTGTCCTGTGGTGGTGCTGAGTTCAGGCTGTCCTTAAGAAGGCTTTAGGATGGACACATAAAACAGCAGTGGCAGCCTTGTATACCTCTTCCAGGTCTAACCTTCTGCAGGGTTTAGGATGACTCCCCAAACCTGGCCTGCCGGGCTGCTGCTTCAGTCTCCAGTCTGTCTCACTAGGATGGAAGGGCAGAAGGACAAAGCAGAACATCATCAAGAACTTATCTGAAACTCTAGAGTCAACACTCTCACCTAGCCAGGCCAAGTTTTTGTTGGTTGTTTTTTCAATCCCTCTTAGGCAACACTGCGGTCCCCGGGTCAGCCTGAAATAGGCATGGCAGCACCTATGAAGACAGCTTCTACACTGACCTGACATAAAAGATAGACTAACAGTTCCTCCTGGAGAATGACTCACCAACTCGCTAGGAAGAAGGCTCCTCCTCCTCCAGTGTTTTGACTTAAAGGGAGGAACAGCTGGAGGTGAAGGAAAGCACTGGCCAATCCTTGGAAACCAACTGAATGGGCACTGGTGGACCCAAGAAGATGCCACAGTTCTGTGATTCCTTACCATCCCAAATGACAGCATAGTCAGCAGCTACATTCATCAAGATCATCTTCCAAGGAGTTCATGATTCACCCAAATACCCATAATCCCCCCTTATCCTCCCTCCCAGGGAGAGAATGTGGACAGGAGGTGGGTAGCACTCAGGCCTTTGTCATGAGGGCTGCTAGTCAGAGGCATGCTCAGTGAGTCAGTCCCTGGAAGGGGGGTTCTGTGCACGGGGGCAAGGCCATGGGCTGGCTCAGCAGCTTGTCCATCATGCTGATTTTAGCATCTTGCTTCTCCACGTCTTCATATGGAGTCCACGACATGTCATGTTGCAGCTTGTAGGCACCAAGGAAGTCATGGGGACAGCCTGCTCCCCATTCCTAGAGGGCAAAGGAACAAGTCCTCATCAGGGTAAGAAGTGAAAAGGCTCCCTTCCTCCTCGGGCCACAGACTTCTTTTCGAGCTTCTTCCCTCAGACTACTCAAATTATTGCTGGAAGTTACAATGCACGTCAGAAATAATGTCATTCAAGCACATGCCACTTTTCATCACACCTGGGCTCACATCATCTCGGTTTTCCAGGAAGCCACAGACCAATATGCATGCTTACATTTTCATACACACATGCCCAGAAGTCCTCAAAAGCTGGAGTTGGTTTGGAGTTAAGAATGAATGTTCTTACCTCTGGAGAAATAATGGAAAAGTACTGCTGGCCACTTTCCCGCTGGTAAAGATAGTAAATGTTGCCAGGCTTTTTCACCATATTACAAGCCACATGGTGTAAGTCAGCGTCTCTGCGAGCATCTTCCAGCACCTGCCAGTCACACAGGTGTGACAACTGCTGAGTCAGAGGTTACTGGGCCCCACCCACACCGCTCTAACCAAAGTATGCAAAAAGCTTAAGTCATTCCCCAGCAACAACAACTCACTATTGGGGTCAAACAGCTCTGAGGGTGTGAAGATTAGACAAGCTGCTACACTGCAAAAGTCTGGTAAAGGGATAAGGTTTTTAAATGATGAGTGTGGCTGGCTTGGGGGATTCTAAAGGTCTTTTTCTGTTTCAAGTGCATTGCTTTTTTAAAAGAGATCCTCCCTCCCTTAAAAAACTTTATCCTGGCCAGGATAAAGTGGTGGCGCACGCCTTTAATCCCAGCGCTTGGGAGGCTGATTTCTGAGTTCGAGAGTTCGAGGCTAGCCTGGTCTACAGAGTGAGTTCCAGGACAGCCAGGGCTACACAGAGAAACCCTGTCTCGAAAAAACCAAACCAAAAAACAAACAAACAAACAAACAAAAAAAAAAACTTTATCCTGCCCTTTCTCCTAAGTAAACACAGCATGTTCTGGTGAGATGGTTAAGAGCACTGACTGCTCTTCCAGAGGTCATGAGTTCAAATCCTAGCGACCACATGGTGGCTCACAACCATCTATAATAGGATCTGATGCCCTCTTCTGGTGTGTCTGAAGACAGCTACAGTGTACTTAGAGAAATAAAAATAAACAAAACACATACACTTATTGGGTTAGCCTGCCCCAGGTATTTCCTCATAGCAATGCAAAATAATTAATGAAAGCTCTCGGGCATATTCCTTGCATTTTATCTACATGTTTGGAATGTATTAAAAGCAAAGGCAGCGAGCACCATGGTTATAAACAAGGTCAGTCAATCCTCCTAAGCACAGGAAAAGGACAGCTGGCCTAACCAGCACTGGCTCTGATCAAACTTCTTTCTCACCTTCCTAGCTTGTTCTTGCAAATGCTGGATTTGCTCAGCAATGACTGTCAGCTTGTTAGTAGCATTTGCTCGGATGAATTCATCAGCCTACAGAGGAGAGAAAACCAAACTGTGTGGTGAAACAGCAAGAGGCCCCTTGGTGTCACAGGGATGCAATTCAAGGAGTTATGCCAACAGCTCTGCCTCTACCTAGAGCGGCCTTTCCATTCCATTGCCAAGTAAATCCCAACCCACCCTCAAGCCCAATGGAGGAGAAGCCCACACTTTAATAACCCCACATCCAGAATTAAAGGCTCCTTCATCTCTGCTGCCATTCACTCTCATTTCTAATCACATTGGGCTTTGGTGCTTCCACATCCTCTTCTCCTGCCATCACATGTGAGTGTGCCCTCCTCCATCCCATCCCATGTGAGTGTGCCCTCCCCTGCATCCCATCACATGTGAGTGTGCCCTCCTCCATCCCATCCCATGTGAGTGTGCCCTCCCCTGCATCCCATCCCATGTGAGTGTGCCCTCCTCCATCCCATCCCATGTGAGTGTGCCCTCCTCCATCTGGTGTATCTGCTCTCTGTGTGACTAAACGCTCTCATTTCCCATGCCCCTCATTTTGTTTTGTTTTCCCCCGTGTGGAGCTCAGGCAGTTAGGGAACTCACTAATGAACCCAGGCTAGCCTCAAGCTTGCACTCTTCCTGCCTCCTCTTCCCAAGGATGAAGATATTGGTGTCAACCACAATATCCAACCCATTTGTTTTCTATGTTTCAACATCTTTAAAATAATGAGTTTTGCAAATGAAAATCGAACCAGATGTGGTAGCTAACACCTTTAATCCCAGCGCTCAAGAGGTAAAGGCAGGTAGATCTATAAGTTAGAAGCCAGCCTGATCTACAGCCAGGGCTACTTACATAGTGTGACAGTCTCAAACAAGAAAAGAAAGAAAAAAGAAAATCAAAAGATACTTGTGATGGAATAGTAGCATCTGCTTTGTAGGAGTCTGACCATCACCTCAGTTGGATTACCTACACCATATCTACCTAAAACTTCAACACACACAGAATGAATTTTAAAAGGGGAAGGACGGCAACAGGTCATGGAGGGTTCTGTAGGCCATGGTTTAAAAAAAAAAATTGTTTTTAGGACAAGCGGATTCACATGGCTAATACAGACAGAAGGCAGTCTCCATTCATGAAGTCACCTCCTTTCCTTTTCTAAATAGCTATTTTCATGTGTGTGTGTGTGTGTGTGTGTGTGTGTGTGTGTGTGTAATGTTTACATCCATGTATGTATGTGCGCAGTGGGCTTGCTTGATGGCTATGGGGGCCAGATAGACTCAAGAGTTACAGCGGGTGCATGCCACACTACCGGACTGGGTACTGAACCCAGGTCCTCTGCAAGAGAAGCAAGTGCTCACCAAGATGAGACCAGGTGTGGTGGTTTGAATAAGCTTGTCCCAGGGAGTGGCACTATTAAGAGGGGTGGCCTTGTGGAGTGGGTGTGGCCTTGTTGAAGGAAGTGTGTCATTGTGGGCCTGGGCTTTTAGACCCTTGCCCTAGGGCTGGAGAGATGGCTCAGTGGTTAAGAGCACTGACTGCTTTGCCAGAGATCCTGAGTTCAATTCCCAGCAACCACATGGTGGCTCACAACCATCTGTAATGTGATTTGATGCACTCTTCAGGTGTGTCTGAAGACAACTGCAGTGTACTCACATAAATAAAAAAAATAAATAAATCTTTAAAAAAAAAAAAAAAAAAAAAGAGACGCTTGTCCTAGCTGCCTGGAAGGCAGTCTCCTCCTATTTGCCTTTAGAACAAGATGTAGAACTCTGGCTCCTCTTACACCATGACTGCCTGGATGCTGCCATGCTCCTGCCTTGATGATAATGGACTGAACCTGTAAGCAACACCCAATTAACATTGTCCTTATAAGAGTTGTCTTGAGCCGGGCAGTGGTGGCGCACGCCTTTAATCCCAGAACTTGGGAGGCAGAGACAGGCGGATTTCTGAGTTCGAGGCCAGCCTGGTCTACAGAATGAGTTCCTGTCTTGAAAAACCAAAAAAAAAAGAGTTGTCTTGGTCATGGTGTCTGTTCACAGTAAAATCCTAACTAAGGCACCAGGCCATCTTTCTAATCCTGTTTCCTTTTAAGGGACACTATGCAAACAAGAGCCTAACTAAAAAGAAATTAAGGAAAGAGTACGTTTTTGAAAGGTTTCTTTTATTGTCTATGTGCTCGTATGTGTACCACATGTGTGCCTGGCATCTAAGAAAGTCAGAAGAGGGCAATGAATCACCTGGAGCTGGAGTTATAGACAACTATGAGCCACCACGTAGGTTCTAGAAACCAAACCTGCATCCTCTGCAAGAGCAAGTACTCTTAACCCCAGTGCTGTCTCTCCAGTCCCAGAGAGTACTCATAATTACTAGGCACTGATCCTGGACCCAAGCACTCCAGGAGCCTCTATGTCAATAACGGCATCTAACTCTCCAGAAACAACAACCATAGTTAGGCATTAAGACTCAAGGCAGACGTGGTGACCTAAGGTTTGATAATAAATGGCAATTGAAGGATCTGAACATAGTTAAACTGAATTCCAAAATCCATGTCTCCATACCAAACCTCCAAAGCTTTCTGACCAGACATTAAGGGAGTCAGGAGACAGCCTCTCAGCAACTGTGTCTCAGTATGCAGACAGTGACTATGCTGACTTCATTAGCTTTTACAATTTTTAACTGTATGTGTACATAGGTGTTTGGCTGCATGTGTGTACATGCATCATGTTCAAGCAGAGCCCAAAGAGGCTAGAAGAGGGCATCTGATCTCCTGGGACTGGAGTTACAAAGGGCTGTGAGCCACAATGTGGGTTCTAGTGACTAACCCTGGGTCCCCAACAAGAGCGGTAAGTGCTCTTAACCACTCAACCGTCTCCTCAGCTCTCAGTTTGTTTCTAAAGTATTCTTTCTTCAGCTTCTCAAAGAGGGATTATTCTGGAGAACTGGAGGCAACAGAATAACATGTCCTTCATACGTCACCAGTAAAAAAGACTAAAGCTGTGTTCCTTCTCTCTTTGGCTGAGTCCACGACAGTCACTCAGAAACTTAGTGTTGACTGCCCAAGATTCTGTTCCTAGCTAACTCCCTCCAATAGCAATCTGATTAAACAGACATGTCATAGTCTTCTATTTTGCACCCATCTCTTTTTAAAACAAACAAACAAACAAAAACCATAAGGTTTTAATTAAAAGGGCTTCCCTGAACATTTGAATTTTTCTTAAATAAGACAAACACATTTTTATGTGAGGAATTGCCGCATGTCAATCATTAATTTTCTTGATCAAAACAAACCCTTGAACATGATCACTGCCAAATAAGCTAGTTTATACAAGAGAAAGGGGTCACTAGAAGCTTTAAAAGCAGCCAGGCTCTAATACTGAAAAAGATTCTACAGGGAAAGTCTTGCTAGAGAAGGAAACTGGAGTTTCACTTAGACCTATGAGCCTCTCCACCTCAAAGCTCTCGTTCTACAGACTCTGAGCTCCAGAGAGAAACAACTTGTCCAAAACTAATCTGCCCAAACTTCTATGGTCTTTTCCATTATTTTGCATATCTTCTTTATTTTACAAATTATGGCAACCGATGTCTAAGCTCTGGACATAGGAATATTGTTATCCACTGAAATTCACCAAGTGTGACAGCCACCCTTGTAATACCCAGCCTCTGGGAGGCTAAATTCAAAGCCAACCTGGGCTATACAGCAAAATGACACTACCTCCAGTTTTATTGTGTGTGGTCTTATTTTAAATAGGAATTTTACCCTGTGTCTTTTTGCATGTTGTTTTTGGTAGTGCTGAGAATCAAATTCAGGACAAGGCAAGTGGTGTAACACTAAACTACACCCCCCAGCACTGGTTTTGGTTTTGTTGTTGTTTTGTTTTTTGTTTTTTAAGGAAAGAACATATATTTGAGTTCCACAAGCTCTTGGGGAACAGATAAAGGTCTTATGGAGGCAGAATAAAATAAGTTACTATTTAAGAATTTGTCATAGAGGTCGAACATGGTGGCTCGCACCTTTAATCCCAGCACAGGGCAGGAAGGGAGGGTGCCGGGGGTAGCCATGTAGATCTGTGAGTTCGAGGCCAGCCTAGTCTATAATACAGTGAGTTCCATGACAGTCAGAGCTATGTAGGAACACTCTGTCTCAAAACACACAACAACAAAGGAATTGGGACAAAGTGATCCTCTTCCTGTGTGAAATGGAACGATAATTTCAGTACTGCCGAGTTCACAGACTGTCCTAAGGGTGCAGGTAAAATGTGAGGTCCGAGCCCAAAGAGGCAGGGTAACGTACTGAGATGGCTATTCCTCACCTTCTGCACCTGCTCGGCGAGCGCCACGAGGTCTAAGGGGTCCCCGACCCGGTGGGTGTGGTAGGGGCTCACCAGAGCCAGGCCGCCGGGGTTCGGGGTGCGCTCCACCAGGGCTCCTGCGATACACACCCGGAACACAGGCGTAAGCTGAAGCCCTTAGCCTCCCGCGAGACAGCAGGAAAGTGCCACCCGGCTGCGACCTCTCACCCCAGCATCTCAGTCCCACATACCTCCGGAACCCGCCGCCTCCTTCACTCCCAGATTTCCCGTGCCACTTTCGTACCCACCGGGAACCCTGGGGTCCGCCATAACAGCACCTCAACCCCACCTCCGCAAGGGTGAAGCGCAGGCGCATAACAGCTTGTGGGCGGGGCTTTCTCATTCTCAGGCCATTGAGCTGTGCGCATGAGATTAGAGGCGGGGCCTCACGAAGAGTGAGTGTTTGGATTGGTTAAAAGCAAGAGGCGTTGCACGCTTCCTTGCCACGAGCTTCAGGGCTTGGGGCGTGGCTCGTCTCTGGGCGTGGCTTTTGTGGGGGCGGGACTCTGGAATGTGCCCCAGGCGAGCAGTCCCGTTAAGTGAGGGAGCAAGGCCATGGCGGTGAGCGTAAGGAGGCTGCTGGTCGCGATGCTAGCAGTCGCCGCAGCCGCCGCCTTGCGGGCTGCGGCGGAGTCTGAGCCGGGATGGGACGTGGCAGCTCCTGACTTGCTTTACGCAGAGGGGACCGCGGCCTACGCGCGCGGGGACTGGCCCGGAGTGGTACTGAACATGGAGCGGGCGCTGCGCTCGCGGGCGGCCCTGCGTGCCCTCCGCCTGCGCTGCCGCACACGCTGCGCCACCGAACTGCCGTGGGCACCAGACCTCGATCTCGGTCTGGCCCCCAGCCTGAGCCAGGACCCGGGCGCCGCCGCCCTGCAGGACCTACGCTTCTTCGGAGCCGTGCTGCGCCGTGCCGCTTGCCTGCGTCGCTGCCTCGGGCCGCCCTCCGCCCACTTGCTGAGTGAAGAATTGGACCTGGAGTTCAACAAGCGGAGCCCGTACAACTACCTGCAGGTCGCCTATTTCAAGGTGCGACTGGTCCGGACCCCGGCGGCCGGGAGCGACCTGGGGAACTTGGGAAGCAGAGCAGGGAGGAAAGGGACCTCTGGTTTGGGAGCTGTCGGCGGACTCAGGGTTCTTATGAGCAAATGCTAACCCTAAAGGTCCAGCTAGTAGTGACAGCCCAAGGCAAGAAAAACCTGACCTTTTTCTTTTGGGAAGCCCTCCTAGAGGGAACCGAGGCGGCCGCTTGGGTCTCCCAGCCATACTTCATTGCAAGTGTCCAAGTGCTTCTGCAGCATCTTCCTTCCGGTTCGTTCTCCAATCATGATTTCCCTGCTCCCTAATCCAACAGCAGCGCTCTTTCAGGACGTGGGATTGCCACGTCGCCAGCAGAGGCTGCCTGGCTCCTCCCTGTGGAGGACCCTCTGGCTAGTATGTCTTTTTAGATAGAAAATGACTAACTTTTGGGATGCCACAGCGCTTTAAGTCCAAGTCAACAAACGAGCTTGGAACACCAGCCTTGTCTGCCCGTGATGACTGGCAACATATATTTCCAGGACTCAGTTAAAGCACTTTACGTTTATTACTTCATTTGCCCTGATACAGTATCCTTTGAGTAAATGCTATTCGTCCCATGTTAGGGGGATGGGCAGCACATACAGACTGCATAGCCACAACAGTTTCACAGACCTTTTAGTTCTACCTAAAGAGAGACTTAGAGGCTCTTGGGGACCTCAGGTTTCTACTTTGTCCTCTCCATTCCTTCTGGTTACTGGGAAGCATGCCCCACTGATTGGGTTCTTACTGGGGTCCTGTCACTTAATAGCACTACTTAAAATTTGTTGACATTTATTGAACACCTACTACATTTCAGTTCTTGGACAGGTAATTAAAATGGTTGGTTCTTTGTTTTTCCTTGTGTCACTCACTGCTAGGAGTCACTGTCCTAAGGGCTAACTAAAAAGGTTATATGGCTAAGTTAGGACTAGGGGAGCACAAAGGAGGGAGACTCTAGCTTTACTTCAGTTAAATTAGGCCTGAGGAAGAGGAGACACTGAAGAATGGTTATTCCCCAGAGAGGAGAAAGTAGAGCCGGAGGGTGATGTATTTTGGGCCATGGGTAGTCCATGACTCATGTGTGAGGAGACCAGGAGTGACTACAAAGTTCAGTGAGGCTTCTGTACACCTCAGGCAGCCGTCATCACACCTCATTTTCAGAACGTTAATTCTGGAAGGAGAAAGTGATGGTGGTGAAAACGGGAGAATTAGGAGCCCTGTGCCTTAGTCCACCAGAGGAAGCTAAGTGCCAGTGCCCAGAGGGAAGGGGGGGTTGCTGGGGCTGTGCAGCAATGATAGCAGGAGCAGTCCTGAAGCACTGGGGAGTGTGAGCTGGGCGTGGCGGCACTGTGCTCTACAGCAGGCCTGGGGCTCTCACCACAGTGCAGTTGTAAGTGGTCTTTCTACACTATTCCCAGTCGTTGAAGCTTTAGACCCATCAGCACAGTCACTGCGTTTCAGTTGGTTTTTGTTTGATTGCTTGTTTGCTTTATTTTGTTTTGAGACAAAGACTCACCTATAATTCCAACACTTGGGATCTGAGGCAGGAGGACTGAGAGTTTAAGAGTGACCTACATATCAACACCCCCTGTCAGTATGCACGAACACACACACAGAGAGACACACACACAAATGCACACACAGAGAAAAACCAACTAAGCAAACAATCAAAATGCACAGAGTTTGTATGTGAATGTATTCTTTTACTTCATCTATAGATAAACAAGCTGGAGAAAGCCGTGGCAGCAGCACACACCTTCTTTGTGGGCAATCCTGAGCACATGGAGATGCGGCAGAACCTCGACTATTACCAAACCATGTCTGGGGTAAAGGAGACAGACTTCAGGGATCTCGAGGCCAAGACGTATATGGTGAAAAGACATCCCCCACCTGTGTGTGTGTGGTGTGTCGTGTGTGTGTGTGCGTGTGTGTGTGTGAGAGAGAGAGAGAGAGAGAGAGAGAGAGAGAGAGAGAGAGAGCGCTGCTATATGTAGTTCTGTACTGTGTAGCCCAGGTTGGCCCCCAAGTCTTCCATATTTCATTTTGTTTGTTTTGTTTTGTTTTGTTTTGTTTTGTTTTGTTTTTTGGTTTTTCAAGGCAGGGTTTCTCTGTGTCCATATTTCATTTTTTAACCTAATCTAATATTGTATTCTATGTGTATTTCAGGAGTTTTTGGACCTAGCATTTGAATAGCATTTTCATAAAGAACTTATGTTCTTGATCATTTTAATAATTTATAAATCAGAACATTGGAGAGCCTGGGGATATACTCATTGGCAGAACATGTGCTTAGCATGCACAAGGCTCTGGGTTGAGAGGCAACACCAACAAAAAATTGTGTGTGTTCATATATAACATTCATATATATACATACAAATACAAGAACACTATCAGAACAACAGCACTCATACACAGTACATATGCTGACCACTCTGCCAGTACCAGAAAGGCTTTTAAAGTAAACTTGTGTTTGCTGTACATGATAGCATATACCTGCAGTCCTAGTACTGGGGAGACAGAGGTGCGCATATCAGGAGTTCAAGGTCATCCTCAGATATTTAGTGAGTTTGATGCCCTCTTGAACCGTGGGAGACAGATGTGAGACATTGCTTCAAGGGGGAGAGGGGTGGGTTGTGATTTATTTTTAATATATGTGTATTTGTGCATGGGGGGGGGCTGTGTGTGTGTGGGAGAGAGAGAGAGAAAGAGAGAGAGAGACAGAATATTTATGTGAGTGCCCAGGGAGGCCAGAAGAGGAAACCAGAACCCCTGGAGCTGTAGTCACAGGCCTTTGGGAGCCACTCTTTGTGAAAGCTGGGAACTAAACTCAAGTCCTCTGGAAGTACATGTTGCTAATCACTGAGCCATCTTTCTCCAGCCCATGTCATCTGAAAACTGTAAGCCTTACAGAAACCTATAAACATTACAGTGAGCTCTCCCCTCTTCCTACATTAAGAGCTGAGCGTTGTGAGTCCCAGTGGTACCTGGAGCCTGTTTACTCTTGGCCTTCCTTATATAGCAGCACCCAGGGTCCCCCGTCCATCCGTAACTTAGGAGTAGGAGTCATCACTCCGTGATAGTGGCTTAGGACAAGGTGACGGGCTCTTCTGGAGCCTGTTTTGAGTACTCCTTCCCTCCAGTAGCATGAGTTTCGGCTAGGGGTGCGACTCTACTCCGAGGAGAGGCCACAGGAGGCTGTGCCCCACCTGGAGGCAGCATTACAAGAGTACTTTGTGGCCGATGAGGAGTGCCGTGCCCTCTGTGAAGGGCCCTATGACTACGACGGCTACAACTACCTAGACTACAGCGCTGACCTCTTCCAGGCCATCACAGGTGGGTGCCGTTCGGAGCATGGCCTGACCAAGCCTCAGAGGGCTTTAAGTCCTGACAATGCACACAAACACCATGCAACCTCATCCCCCAATTTTTTTTTAAAGATTTGTTTATTTTATATGTATGAGTACACTGTAACTGTCTTTAGACACACCAGAAGAGAGCATCAGATCTCATTACAGATGGTTGTGAGCCACCATGTGGCTGCTGGGAATTGAACTCAGGACCTCTGGAAGAGCAGTTAGTGCTCTTATCCGCTGAGCCATCTCTCCAGCCTGCATCCTCAAATGTTTTAAGTCTGGAACTCTGACTAAAACTTGCCTTTCAGGGGCTAGGGAGACAGCTCAGTGGGTAAGGTGCTTGCTGCACAAGCCTGAGGACCTGGGTTCAAATCCTTAAACACCCACATGAAAGCCAAGCATGGAGTCACTCATCTGTAAGCCCCGTGCTAGAGCTGGTCACATCATATGGGTGAACTTGAGGGTACAGAGCCTGTCTCAGAAACATAATGAAGAGGGATGGAAGAAGGCACTGACATCTCCTGACTCCTATACACAGGTGTTCGCGCATGCCACACATGTGCGCACAAATGCTTGCACATATCCTCCACACGTATCCTCCACTTCCGCTTCCTATGTTAGCCAGAATTTGAAACCTAAATATGTCTTTATTAGCCAGGCATTGGTGGCACACACCTTTAATCCCAACAGTCAGGAGGCAAAGGCAAGCAGATCTATGAGTTTGAGGCCAGCCTGGTCTAAGAGATTCAGAACAGCCAGAGCTACACAGAGAAATCCTATCTTGGAAAACAAAACAAGCAAAAGGCCTCATTATTCCTCATCTCTGATTCCTTTCAGATCATTACGTCCAGGTCCTCAGCTGTAAGCAGAACTG